TCGCATTCCACTTGTGGTCTACTCCTTTGATAGTTGTAGGGTCCTCGGTTTTAGGACTGTAAGATTAACTACTCCCCCATTTTTATGAAACTTCTTCCTTTACAATTGTGACCATTGCAATTAATCATGATAAAAATTACTCATTATTCAATCATAAAAATCTTATCGCCATCTCTTTTTACCAGACCCATCTAGACAAGATGAAAACTATTCAGTGGGGACTCTATCTTCTCTCACACACTCTTAAACTAAACTCCATCCTGAAACCTTGTAAGCCAATCATTTCGTGCGTTTATCACCCCTCACTTGAGGTAGCCAATGTCTAAGTTGCCAATCCCTATCTACCCTGTGTACCAAAGGGATAGCTTTGATACTTGATTAAAATTTTACTTTTATGTGCTATAATTAATATTGGTCAATCTTTTATGCATTCCATTGGGTCACCTTTCTTTGGAAGGGGCACAGATAGGGATCTCTTCCAATCAGTTGGCCATGTAGTTGTCTTTCAAATTTCTTGGCTTAGATGAGAGAGTACTTCCAACGTTATATCAGTTGGTTGAAGCATTTCTGTTTATATTTACATTCCATCAATTCCTAGAGCCGTGGTTTCCCTTAATGTCTTTAGTGCAGCTTGAACTTCTTTCTTCAATACTGTTGCTTCTTCTGCCTGTTGAAATGACTGAATATCAACCAGTTTTATTTTTGGTACAGTGATTCTGTGTATTCCTTCCATCTTCTTTAGATGTTTCCTGCATCAATCAATATTTTGCCTGTTAGTATTTATTGCAGACCAAGGATTGGATTCTTTCTTCAGTTCTTTCAGCTTGAGAAATACTGATTGTGCTCTTCCCTTTTTGTTTTCTAAATCCAGGTGTTTACACATTTCATTTTAATAGTTTACTTTGTCTTCTTGAGCTGACCTTTGAAATTATCTATTCAGCTCTTTTACTTCTTCATTTCTTCTAATTGCTTTTGCTGATCTGTGCTCAACGACTATTGTCAGAGTCTATTCTAACATCTATTTTGGTCTTTTCTTTTTTTCCCCTGTTTTTTTAATGAGTTTTTTACTTTCTCATATATGATGCTCTTGATGTCATTCCACAACTCCCAGGAATTCAATCATTAGTGTCTAATTGCATGAAATCTGTTCTTGAGATTTCTCTAAGTTTAATGAATATATTCAAGGTCACATTTTGACTCTCATGGACTTGTTTTCATTTTCTTCAACTTCAGCCTGAATTTGCATATGAGCCCTTGATGGTTTGTTGCACAGTTGGCCCCTGGCTTTGTTTTTTTTAAGGTTTTTATTGTGGATTGAGTGAAAGTTTTCAGGGCACAGCATTGGTTTCACATTCAAACATTCATATACCTTGTTTCATTACATTGATTATAATCCCCTCCACATACCATCAGTTAACAGAGTTTCTCTATATCCTCTTTAGCTTTTTTT